ACAAATCACAAATCAGGACCACAATATGAAAATTTGTTTGCTCGCTGGACACGGTGGCTCACTCCTGTAATCCCAGAACTTTGGGAGGCCAAGGTGGGCAAATCACCTGAGGTCAGGAGTTCAACATCAGCCAGACCAACATGGTGAAACCTCGTCTCTACCAAAAAATACAAAAAATAGCTAGGCATAGAGGTGCATGCCTGTAATCCCAGCTACTCAGGAGGCTGAGACATGAGAATTGCTTGAACCCGGGAGGTGGAGGTTGCAGTGAGCCAAGATTCACACTCTAGCCTGGGTGACAGAGCAAGACTCTGTCTCAAAAAAAAACAAGAAAAAAAAAATTGTTTGCCCTTCCATATTACCAGCCAGCATTGGAAAATAATTTTTAAATTTGCGAGGTAGCTGGGCAAAACAGTTGGGGATTACAATTTTGCTCTAGATAATTTCCAAAGTAGATTACTCACCATGAGAATAGACTAAATTTCACAAGTCACAAAATGGAAGATAATTTTTTGAAGTCCCAAACATGAGCCTGGTGTGGCTACAACCTCAAAGCCTTTGGAGTATTTAAGAGGGGAAAGGGCTCACTGGTTTTAAACAAGCTTCTTCCCCATGGCATCAGCAAAGCATTAACAGTAAGAATGGGATTTTTTAAAAAAGCTTTTCATTTGCAATTTGCATTTGGAAGATTGGAGTACTCACATCATTTCAGCTGAATTTCTAAGTATTACGCTGTACGGCTAGTAACGTTCCACCCAAGTGATTGGCAAGGCATTATTACGATAATGTCCTCAATTTTCACATATAATATTTGAGCTGTTTGCTTTCTCAGAATACAAAATCCTGAGCTGTTTTCTGTAATTATACCAGATGCATTTTAAGAAGCATTCTCAGTATTGAAAAAAGAAAGAAAACAATCCTGCAACTAAAGAGGTTTGTTTGGTTTTTCTCTTGAGAACAGAGGAGCCACTGAACGTCACCTTCTTAACGGGTCCATTTGCTTAGCATATTTTATGTAGCAACCTTAGAATATTGCTCTGCACAGACTAGAGGGCTGGGCATGGCTTGAGATGGTTAAAATCCATTCAATGGCATCCTTCCATCCAGAAAATCAAACTGCAGAACTGAGAATGTGCTCCTGTCCCACTCAAGCTCCATGTGTCCAAGGGCAGCTTGTGCTGGGGGAAGGCCAGATCTGCCGTCCCCTCCCTGAGCCCCGGCTGCCACCCAAGGCTTCCTTGCCTCTCACCGTCCCTAGCCCTAGAGTTGCAAAGGACTCTGCTCTCAAAGCTTGGTTGATTTCATTCTCTGCTGCCACCTTGAAGTGCTTCATAAATATTTGAATGTGGGGCCCACATTTTCATTTTTCACTGAACCCCACAAATTATGTAGCCAGTCTTGCTCCCCACTCCCCATGCCAAAGGCAGGGAAAATGAAAAGATCTCCCTGCTCCCTGGCCACCTACTCTGCTTGAAATTGTGCCTGACTCACTCATTGTCTTTGGCTCTAGAATATCTGATGGCTTCCTGCTGCCCCACAACAGAACCCCAATCCTTTCTCAGCCCAACATCTGGGGCCTCCGATAGCCTAGCCCAGCCCTGATCCTCCCCTCCTCCTTAGTTCACCCCTCTCCCTGCCACCACCTCTTTTCCATCTCTAGCCCAGTCTTGTTCCTGCTTCTGGGTCTGGTCTGCAGGTAGGACTGTGGGCACACCCCTCCCTACCATTTCTGGTGTTTAACAATATGTACGCCTCACATGTATAATTTCGACCTAGGTAGTTACACTGTGCACTTGGCAGCCCACCACCAACTCACTTCCAGCTCCCATTCCTTGCACCGACACCTTGGGGGCCTGGCTCCTCCTCTCGGCTACAAGGCTCTTATCCTGGGCTTTGAGCACCCATGGACCAGGCAGAACTGGGCCACCTCAGCTATAGAAGAACAAACACTTCACCAACAGTGGAGAAGTAAACAGTTATTCCAAACAATATAGGTTCAGAAAAATCTAGAACAGCCTGATTCATCTGAAGCTAGTTTGGGCAGCTTGGATTATCCAGACAATAGCCTCAGTTCTCTTTCTTTCTTGTATGTGGACAAGACTATGTAACCAGCAGAAGGGAAGAACACAGCCCATGACCTCGGCATCAGCTCAGAGCTTCTGCCCTTTTCCCACACTCCCTACCTGGCATCACGAGAGTCTTTAGCATGCCAGCTCCAAAAGAAGACACCTTGGCTCTCTATAAGGAAGTGCATGTCCTGAGGTAGAAGACAAAAGGAGGCCACACAGCGCATAAAATAAAATGACGGCCACGGCGGCTGCAGAGGTCCTGCTGCCCGGGGCGACTCTGACAAATGCACTTATGAAACCTGGCATTTAGACAGGCCAAAGTCCTCCCACTTGCTGGGAGAGGTCCTCTTTATTCTGTCTTCCTTAATATTTTGTTATTTGTTGAGCAACAGAAGAGAGAACAGAAATGTGGAACAATAGGAAGTTGTGGTTATCTGGGAACAGAGACATAGGGGAAAGAGACTGGGTTTTCCCCAGCTCACCCACCACGGATTGTCCACACTCTCACCAATTAATAAGAAGCAGAATTCCAGGGAGAATGTAAGCTAGGACTGACAGAAATATCAAACTCTTTGACTAAAGTAATCTGCCCTACCTGTTGGTCAGCAGTCCTATGAAAGGGTTGGTGAGGAGCTGGACAGTGGCTTTCGAGGCAAACAACAGACCAACTTGCACGTTTTCATTCAGGAGGTCTTTGTCTTCGCTGGGACAGTCGGAAGGGACAGCAGACCTGTTGGTCACCATGTGCTGTGTGGTGGTCTGATGCAGCTGCCCCTCCTGCAGGTCTCTGGTAGTGTTCCCGGTGACCATGGTAGAGTTGTCATAATAGGAGAAGATGCTCTGGAAGCTGTCCGAATTGGAGGCTGTGAGCACTGGCCTGGCTGTCTGGATTTCTGTAGCATTCTTCTCGTGCTTAATGCTGTACAGATAACTTGGGATGATAGGGACTGGGGATAAGAGCAGAATGGCAAGGTGGTGATCACACTGAAACCCTCTCTAAGAAAAAAGTCAGCAAAAAACTGTGGTTGTGTCAGCTGGGTGCGGTGGCTTACACCTATAATCCCAGCACTTTGGGAGGCTGAGGCAGGCAGATGGCCTGAGGTCAGGAGTTCGAGACCAGCCTGGCCAACATGGAGAGACACAGTTTCTACTAAAAATACAAAAATTAGCTGGGTGTGGTGGCACACGCCTGTAATCCCAGCTACTCAGGAGGCTGAGACAGGATGATCACTTGAACCTGGGAGGTGGAGGTTGCAGTGAGCCGAGATTGTGCCACTGCACTCCAGCCTGGGCAACAGAATTAGACTCTGTCTCAAAAAACAACAACAATAACAAAACCATGGTTGTGTCAAATGCCAGAAGAGATCCAAAGAGGTGGCAGGTCTACCCCAGGAACAGGAGCCCTGTGCCACATGTCTACAACAACACTGGAGCAAGTTCACTTTGCTTAGCTCACTAGAAAGAACCAAGCCCCCAACAGCCCCGAGAACTGTCCACTCTCAAAGTCAGGGGCTGTGCTGAACTGACTGGCCCCAGAGATTCTGTCAGTTATGGGTTTCTTCCACATTGTTCCTTCAAGGAATATTTCAGAAAAGTAAAATTCAGTCTGACGTCAAGACAGTGCTGACCTGGGGCCAACCAGTGCTTCTAAGAAAGAGAGGCTCAAAAGATTTTCAAATGGAATGAATCAAGGAAACAGAAAACTGCATTTCATGATTTGTCTTAGAAAAAAATTAACCTGCAGGAAGTAATAACTTGGAAATTCTGCAGCAGGCCCACTTCATCCTTCCATTATGTTAAGTGGGACTCTGCAATTTTTCCTACAATTTGTAAGATTTAAGAATTCCTAAGATTTTCATAAGGAAAAAGCAAAACTGTGAAACAGGCCAGGCATGGTGGCTCACCCCTGTGATCCCAGCACTTTGGAAGGTCAAGGTGGCTGGATCACCTGAGATCAGGAGTTCAAGACCAGCCTGGCCAATGTGGTAAAACTCCGTCTCTATGTAAAATACAAAAATTAGCTAGCATTGATGGCACAGTTCTGTAACCCAGCTACTTGGGAGGCTAAGGCAGGAGAATCACTTGAACCCAGCAGGCAGAGATTGCAGTGAGCTGAGATTGCACCACTGCACTCCAGTCTGAGCAATAGAATGAGACTCCATTTCAAAAAACAAACAAAAAAGCAACAATAAAAAAATACAAGTTAAATTGTGAAACATAATCAAAGCTGTGAGCACATGTGTCCAATGGAGCATTCCAGCCAAGGCAGAGCAAATGCTCTTGGTACTGAAAAGGGATGAGCTCCACAGCTCTGGCAACTCCTTGAGATGAAACCTATCAGATGCTCTGAAAACTGCTGTGGGAAAACCTGCAAACAAAGAGAAAGGACACAGCTTCCACCACTCACAGTCTAAATGAATCATGATTTTTTAAAATTCATTAAAACCTGGATTTTTTTTTTTAAGGAAAGGCATGCCAAATATTTCTCTTTAATGGGCCTAATTAAGAGACCTAGATTTCAATTATTTAATTTTTCAAAATTCCATTATAGGAAAAAGAATAAAACCAACATTGTTCAAATTGTTCTTGCAATGGGTGCTGAAATATTTCCATCTCAAATCATTCACTCCTACAATATATCTAAATGTCTTTAGACTTGCTGTTTTAGATACTACACGAAATATTAACCTGCCTTTTCGAGTAGCATAGTGATTATTCTAACACGTAATTTTGAACTCAAGGAATTTCTCTTCTGGAACAGAAATCTTTTTCATTGCAGTGAAAGCAGGCAAGAGGAAGTGGGAAGTTATCAGGGGGAAACATAAGTTCTGGTTCTTATCGGATGTCACAATTTTTGACCGACCATCAGGAAAGCGAAGCCACGAATGCGGCTCCTCCTAGCCCCGGGGCGGCAGTCTGGAGGGGATGTCTTTTTTTTTTTTTTTTTTTTTTTTGCAAAGAGCGAGTTCTTTAACTTTCCCAGGACTTGGCGAAGCTCCGGGACGCGCTAGGGTGAGTGGAGCACCGGGGAAGGGGCGCTGGGGCGGGGATGCTGGGGAGGGGTGCCCGGTCCGCACGTACCCACGACGGTGAGCAGCATGTTGTCCAGCAGCAGTGCCAGGAACACGATGAACAGGATGAGCTTCCGCGAGCGGCGGCTCTCCTGCAGCCAGCGGACCAGCGCCAGCTCGCTCAGGGCCATGGCTCCGGGGCTTGGCTGCAGGCGTGGCGCTTGGTGAGGACCCCAGGCCGCAAGGGACCCCCATTCTCCAACCCCCCAGGCCGCGGAAGGGCAGGTCAGGGAGCCGAGCGCACCTGCAACCGGGGACACCCCCCGGGAGCCCCAGCCTCTGCTCACCTGCCCCGAGCGCGTCCCCACGAGCGCCTGCGCTCCCTGGAAGGAGCGCCCGCGAGCTCCGTCGGGGACCCACCTGGGAACCCCAGGACGCTGCCCTGATCCCCGCCACCCCCAGCTGTGCCACCCCAGCCCCCCGACTGCGGGCTCGGCCCCGTGCATCTGGAGCCCTGCGCCCCAGTTGCCACGGGGTCCCCGCAGCTCCGCGCACGGCGCTCTGGGCACCTCCTTGCCTCCCTCGGCCCCCGCTCCTTTCTGTCACTGCACCCTGTGAGCAGGGAGCCAGGGCCGCGTTACCTCGGTGTCGCCTTCGATGCCTGTCCGGGTCCTCCGCACCGACGCCACTGCTCGCACCGCAATGGGCTTCCTCAGTCCAGGCTGCTCCGGGTCACAGTCTCCGCCCCAGCGCCCCGCCGCGCAGCTCAGTTTACCCCATCCGACTCTGACGTCATACCCGGAGGGAGCGGGGGCGGGGGGTTGGGGCGCCCCGGCCTCCTCCCACCTGCACTGTCGCTGCACAGGAGGGGCCGCTGCCTCCCTGTCCCTACCTCGCCTTGGCCACGGCTGCTCTTCTTCCCTGGCCCCTGACCGTGGCAGAGCGCCTTGGGAACCCGGGCCTGGCAGGGGCGCAGAGCGAAAGGGGTCAGGGACCCAGGATGAAGGGTGAAGGGCCAGGGACCAAGGCAAGGAGGCAGGGACCAGGGCTTTCTTCTGGCTCCAAGTAGAGGCCTGAGCTGCTTTGAATAAATCAGGTGGCTCTTTGAGCCCCAGTGTCCCTGAAATGGGCCGTGAGGATGGAAGTGATGGCCGTGGGGTGAGTGCACCGGGGTGACAGGTGCTGGGAGCCAGGGACAGGTTTCTCTTTCCTGGGGAAGCCTCCCTTTGCATCCACTATCCCCTCCCCATCCAGCCTCTGCAGCCTGATGTGGGGTGCCACTCCGAGGAGCCTCTGATCCTCGAGCACCCTCAAGCTGGTGACATGGAAACAGGGGGAAAGGGGACATCTTTCAGTGTCACCCTTCAGTGGGAATTGGGGAGGTGAGGGTCCCAGGTGTGAGGCCACCTGAGCAGGGGGCCCTGGAGGCTAGGTGAGTGTGCCTGGCCTCAAGGAAAGGGCTAGGGAGCAGGCAGCTGCCTAGGCCCTGTGCCCTGCACTCTCTCCCCTCCATGCTGTGCCTGCGTGTCAGGGTGAGAGGTGGTTCCTAGAGCCAGGGATCTGTTTGTGTCTGGTGCAGAGCTGTCATCCTCACTGCCAAGGGCTAAGAGCCTGCCTTTGATTTCCAAGTCCATTTTATAAGAAAAGGAGAAACAAACAGATGCCCTCTGACATCGCTGGAGCTCTGGGGGCCCTCCAAGAGGACCATGGGAACAGGAGCTGTTTTCTTAGAAAGCCACTTAGAATAAACGTTACCCTGTCACAGTCTCTTAGCAGAAGAGTGGCCTTGTTTTATTAATGTTAGCTTGTTGTCAGCAGGATACCACGGAGAACAGCAGTGTAATGTGTGGCTGTCCCCGCTCTCTCCACCTCCCTACTTCCTAAAAGAGACTCCCTGTGCTTCCCATTGCCACCCCATGTGTGAGAAGAGATGGTTGAATAGGTAAGTAGGTCAGGAACATGGGTCTCCAGGATGTCGTGGGCTGTGTGCAACTTAAATATTAAACAGGGAGAAGAGAAGGAAAACCACTTAGGAGGAGAAAGCAGATGGCAGGAGAGTCGTTTAAGATGGCAGGAGGGTATCACACTCATGGAGTGCCCCCAGAGTGCTTGCTCTGGAGTTTTAAAACCCAGGGATGCGGACTCTACCCCCAGGGACCATGGGGACAGAGAGGCATCATAGTAAAGGGTGCCTGCCAGGATGCCCCAGTCCCAGTCTGCCACTTCCTTGACTGGTGGCCTTGGGCTGGTTATGTATCCTCTTTGTGGCTTAGTTCTGCCATCTCCAGAATGGGAACACTAACTGGACCTACTGCAGGGTGGTTGTGAGAATTCCATGGGAATACATAAGCAGCTCTTGGCTCAGTGCCTGGCACAAAGTGAGAGCTCCATAAGCACCGGCCCCTCATTCACGCAGTGAATATGTGCTGAGTTCTTACTATGTGTCAGGCACTATGGTTAACGCTGGAGAGACAGTAAAAGCCCAGACAAAATCCCTGCCCATGGGCTGCTGACATTCTGACCTGATAGCAGCATCACAGTGGTGAACATTGGAAGGCACACCACCTGCCAGCCCAGCCAGCGGGAGGTAGGTGGCTCCAGGAACAATGCCAGCCCTGCGTTCCCGCCTCCCAATCGCTGTCACCATGCCTAGCGCACCATGGCCTATAACAGGGTCTTCAGACTTTTTGTTGAAATCCCCTTAAAAAATGTTTAGCAGTATGTTTGCCTTGCATATTTTCAAGTTGGCATCTAAAATGAGTTTTTTAATCATATAGTCAAATAGGGTATATAGTATTTACTGACCTTTATATATAAAATTATCTCTCTCTTTTAAATATACCCAAAGGAATTTAAAGAACACAAAACCACCATGTTATAATACAAAGATAAACAGGTATTCCTTTAACAGTCATTTACATTGTGTCCTTTACAACTTTAAATTATGTTTTCATTCCATTTCCAGCAGAATTTTTTCCTACCATAATGCTTTTATCGTTTAAATTCTGTATTCATCACCTTATCTATTATGTGAACTACAACAAATATGTGACTGTGCATTCACTTTTCAAAATGTTCTACACATGGTCATAAAGATGGCCACTATAGACACTGGGGACCATGGAAGGGGAGAAAGAGGGAGTGGGGGAAAGGGTTGAAAGAGTAGCTCCTGGGTACCTTGCTCACTACCAGCATGACAGGACCAATCATGCTCCAAATGTCAGCATCACTCAATATACTCATGTAACAACCCCACACATGTACCCCTGAATCCAAAAGAAAAGTTGAAACTATAAAAAAAAAGTTCAGGCACAGCAACTCGTGCCTGTAATCCCAGTAATTTGGGAGGCTGAGGTGAGAGGATCTCTTGAGGCCAGGAGTTCAAGACCAGCCTGGGCCAGATAGTGAGACCCTCTACAAAGAAAATTAAAAATTAGTCAGGCATGGTGGTACACACCTGTGGTCCCAGTTACTTGGACGGCTGGGGTGGGAGGATCACTTGAGCCCAGGAAGTCGAGGCTGCTGTGAGCCATGATCACACCACTGCACTATAGCCTGGGCAACAGAGTTTACTTATTTTCTGCCTCAAAAATAAGTAAATAAATATTTTCTTATGGCCATAAGGCTTTAACATTCTCTTTAGGATTATGTGATTATAACAATGATTAATGGTATTTAGAATCGGTGCACTGCATTGCACACACCTCCACTGGCAGATTGTAGGAGGTCTTGGGTTTTGGGAGGAGGAGGAGAACAAGTTCTATAGCACAATTCCAGGTGGGTACATGACAAGCACATGGGTACCACTACATTTTTGGATGCTTCATTCCCATTCAAGGGTATGAATCAAGTACATCAGAAGTGGATCCCCTTCTGTAGCAGGGACCCAGGAGCAGGGACCTGGGATGAAGTGGAAAAGTGGAAATAAGTGAAAAGAAACCAAGAAACGGGCACCACAGCCCGCTCAGAGCCGGGCAGAGGATCAACTTACCTCTCTGTACATAAGGTACCCCACCATTGCCTCCCAGGCCAAAAGGATGTGTTGTCTATAAGAGACACTCTTTAAATATAAAGACATAGATCAGTTGAAAGTAAATGGATGGAAAAAATGCAATGCATGTAAACTGTAAGCATACGAAGGCTGAAGTGAGTGCATTAATTTCAGATAAAATAGATTTCAAAAACAAAATTTGAAACAGATCTAAAAAGGAGCTTCATTATGATAAAAGGAGTCAATCAACAGGAAGACATAAAGTCATGATGCGTATGCACCCAATCATAAGGCCCAAAATCTATGAAGAAAAAATGGACAGAATTAAAGGGAGAAATAGACATTTCCATAATCAAAGTGGGGAAACTGACCACCTTTTCTCAATGACTGATAGAACACCTGAACAAAAAAAATAATCAGACAGAGAAGATCAAAACAATAGCAACTGCCACCTTGGCTTAATTGGTATTTATTTAAACTGAACAGTAGCAGACTTCACACTCTTTTCAAGACTACATGGAAAGTCTCCACCAAGATCTGTCTCATTCAGGTGGAGGCTTGTTTTTTCCTTGATGTCAGCTCAATCAGTTTTTCAGCACACAGGTAAATAATGAGACTATGAACAGAAAAAGAATGCATTTCATTCTCATGCCTTTCTGAGGTCTTCTGTGTAAGCAACTGCAAAAGAACATTTTCTGTATAAAATTTAACCAAATTGACTGTTCTGACTTTAAGAGGGAATGGCAAGGCAAATGTCAATTTACTTGAAGGATGCCTCACTGACTACCAGTGACATTAGGCCATAGATGCTCTAACTTAATAATGCAATCACTGAATTAACTGGCTTCATGTGGCATTATCTGTAAATGTGGGTCTCCAGGTTTGGCTATTTTAATAGAATTACTAACCTGTCTGAGGACAATTTGCTGTCATTGAAGGCTGTGGAGGAGCCAGCCAGCCATGAAGGGCAGGGTTTCATTTGCTTCATGCCTCAATCCTCCACTCTCACTTGGACTATTACAATCCCCCTCTCACCCCACTCCATGTCTGCTCTCAGCATCCCCAGGCCTCATACAGTCTACCTTCCTACCCAGCCAAACAGAGCTGCAAAAAACCAACATGGTCACACCACTTCCTTGTCTAAAACTCTTCAGTGGTCTCTCGCTTGGGATAATGTCCAGAGTTTTTCCTGTGGCCCCATGGGACATGCATGGTCCAGCCCTGCCCACCCTTTCCATCTTAATTTGCCACATTTGTCCTTGCTGTCGATCTCAAACCAGATTCCCTTATGATTCTCTGGGCTCTTGCATGACTTCAGGTATCTTTGTATATCTCCAGGGCCCCAGAATTCCAGCCTGAGAAGCCCTGGCCTGGGAGCGCCTCACCTCCCCTTATACCACGTGGCGTGGCATGGCCTTCCATCTTGCCCTCCCTTTCCCCACCCAGCTACACTGGGCTCCTTTCAGTAAGTGCTTTCTGTCTCAGGGCCTTTCCATTCTCTGTTCCTTCTGCCTGGGGAGCTCTTCTCCCTCTTCATCTGATTGTCTTGTTTTCATTCCTAACCTCTCATCTGCTCATACACCCCGTGTTCCCTCCTACCCCAGGACTTGCATTCAGTCTATTCCTACTGCCCTAAATGTTCTTCCCTCTTCTACCTTCATCTCTTAATACTCCCTTAACCTTTATGTCCTAGATAAAAACACAGGTAGGTTGAAAGGAAATGGATGGGAAGGTACTTGTCCCCAGGAAAGCCTTCCCTGATGCCTGAGCCTACGTGCCCTGTGCCATACTGACAGATCCCTAAACCTCCCAGTCCTGGCATTTCTCACTATAATCATAATTTTACTAATGTGACTGTCCTTAATGTTGGGCTTCTGGGTCCCTCCCCCTGGGAGCTCAGTGAGGTCAGAGTCTTATTCACCCCTGTATCCCCAGAACCTGGCACAGAGTAAGAGTTCAGTAAATGCTGTGGCTGATCCAAATTCCCTGATCACTTATGCAGCAAGTTTACCATCCAGGCAATTCACCAGCGCCATTAGGCGCCCACCACCCAGGAGGCTCAGCCCTCACTGGCTGCCTCCTTGTGGGTCCAGTTATCTGCTGTTGCCCAGTCCAGCTTCCCTGCCTTTGCATAAGTGGCTTCCTTCACCAGGAACACCCACTCTCTTTCTTCTACCTGTCCAAGCCCTCACCTCTTCCTACCTGGTTTGGCTTGGAAAACCTTTCCCCCTTCATCAATTATTGAGTGACCACAAAACCCACCCAATTTATGATGCAATAAGGGGGTGCTGCCTCTGCTCATTCAAGCTCCAATAATAGAATCATTTATGTCCCCTCCTTCCCCAGCATTCCCTGTGGCCATGCCCCCAGGGCCAACCTCTGCTCATTCCTGATGCTGAGTCTTTGCTTAGTTAGGCAGATCATCTTCCTAGAATGCTGTTCCGGTCCCTGACCTGGAGAGCCCATCAGAAGCAAAATGCCCAGGTGTCATCCCATGGTCCCAGCCGTGCCATCAAAGCTGAAGGCCCATGGCATGGCACAGGCACCCTCCAATTCTCCACTGAATGGGTCCTGTTTCCTGTTCATCCCCACTTCTGTCCCTGATGCCACCTCCTACCCCAGCAGGCTCCTCCCTGTGTCACCCAGCATCATGTCACGTGCTGTTTCCAGTCTATGTGTTATTCTGCACATCTCCATGAACCACTGCTTTCTTTCAACAAACCCCTCCCCAGTTCAGGAGCCTAAGATGGCTCCCTGATATCTCACACCTGCACTCTCCTGCCTGGCTTCCAAGAGCATCTGCAGTCCACCCCACCCCACCCCTAACTCCTACCTCTGTTTGAATCACACTGGCCTCTCAATGCCCCAGAAACAGTCATCAGTCATGCTGTTTGCCTCATCCCTCCAACGTTCCCAATCCTACTCCTAGTCCAGAGCACAACTCAAGTCCTCTCTGCTGCAGATGTTGAGCCTTACATGGTCATCACAGCTTCCCCAGGCTTCAACTTGTAAGCACAGAAAGCTCTGGTAAAGTATTTATTTACCAGCTTCTGCCACGTCTTCTGTGTTCCAGTAGGTTCATCTGGGTTTTTTTTGAGTCAGGGAATAGCTCTACTGCCCAGACTGGAGTGCAGTGGCATGATCACAACTCACTGCAGTCTTGACCTACTGGGCTCAACTAATTTCATCTGGGCTTTGTATTTGTTTGCTTGTGCTTTTTAAAATGTGGCTGAGAGAAAGTTTTAAATTACCTATTTCTGTGAGATGGCACCAGGTGGCACCTATATGCTGCAAGGGGTCTTTGAGGCTATTAAGTCTAGTGGCTGCCTTTGACACACAGGAAAGCAAACACTGAGAGGGATAGTGCCTTGCCCAAGGTCATACACATAGAAGGGCAGGGTGGTGAGGACTGGAGCTCTGCATCTTGGACCTTAGTGGTTTGGAAGCAGATGATGCCTGACACTGTGGGGGCTGACAGGTGGGTGCCCACAGGTGGTCCTTCACAGTGGAGGACATTGGAAGGGACTACAGACTCGGGACAGAGGCCTGTGGAGGCTCCTGCAGACCCTGCTTGGAGCTGTCCTCACCCACTTGCCATGCCGACTGCACACCCAGACATCCGCAGGGCAGGAGATTTTAGTGGATAATCAATAGTCCGATAGGGCAGGCTGCAAAGCCCCAAACCTAATTATGTTGTTCAGAAACTTGTCTGTAACTAAAAGGTGTCTGAGAAATCACTGCAACCATTGCTGAGGGGGGAGAGAAATCCAGTCATTATGTCCAATTGGATTTATATTGACTGTTAGCTTGTTGTAGATGTTGTCTCCCTGCAAAACTGTTCTTTGGATACCACAGGGACACACACACACACACAAACACAGAGGTTTTTTTCTTTTCTAGGAGACTTTTGGGAAGGTTCTGGTTTGCCTTTTACTCCTAGGTGGCCCAAGATGTGATTGACAGGGTGATTTCCTGGGTCTCACTTTTGAAGTTCTAGATGTCACAGCCCTAACTCCCCTGGGCAGAGCAGAACATGCATCTCTTTCAAAGGCAGTGTGGAGGGACTGAATGCCTCCTCCAACTCCAGGCATTTGACAACCCCCACCCCAAATGGGATAAAACCTTTCAGGGTGAGAAACTTTTCGACAATTAGTTAAGACATTTGAATATTAGTCCGTTTTCATGCTGCTGATAGACATACCCAAGAATGATCAATTTGCAAAAGAAAGAGGTTTAATTGGATTCACAGTTCCACATGGCTCGGGAAGCCTCACAATCATGGTGGAAGGCAAGGAGGAGCAAGTCACGTCTTACATGGATGGCAGAAGGCAAAGAGAGAGCAAGCTTGTGCAGGGAAACTTCCATTTTTAAAACCATCAGATCTCATGAGACTTACTGTCATAAGAACAGCATGGGAAAGACCTGCCCTGTGATTTAATTATCTCCCCCAGGACTGTGCCACAACACAACACAAGGGAATTACGGGAGCTACAAGATGCTATTTAGATGGGGAGACAGAGCCAAACCATATCAAATATCAAGTCTTTTTTTTTTTTTTAGATGGAGCCTCACTCTGTTACTCAGGCTAGAGTGTGATGGCAGAGTCTCGGCTCACTATAACCTCTGCCTCCCAGGTTCAAGTGATTCTCTTGCCTCAGCCTCCTGAGTAGCCTTCAGAATTGCAATAGGGAAAAACCTAGAAACCTCCAGAATGCCTGCCCATAGGCACCTGCAAAGCTAAGTAATGTCCACCTGCACAGTGGAACGCCACATGACCACTGGAGAAAATTAAGTAACTCAGTGTTTACCATGGGAAAATATGGAAGACATATTATTCTTCAGTGAAACCAAAGCTCACAGAACAGCATGTCTTGGGTGATACAATTTAAGTAAACAAATAAATTTCTTCAAAAGGCTGTCATACATGTGTCCAGGCCAAATGCAGATGGACCAGTTCTGAATGGAAGCTGTTCAACCCGCCGTGATGTTGGCCGGAACTAGTTCCAGAGAATAAAAATAAAAATAGGGGGAGTTTATGAGGGTGAAGATTTTTCACTTCCCACTTGGAAATATATGTCCATCCAGATTTTTTTTGAAGTTTTATTCACCACAAGTTCTGTGATGGTTAATTTTACATGTTGACTTGACTGGATGGTGGGAGGCCTGGATGGCTGTTGGAGCACTGTTTCTGGGTGTCTATGAGGTGTGTCCAGGGGAGATTAGCATGTGAGTCAGTGGACTGAGGGAGGAAGACCTGCCTTCAATGTGGGGGTGACCATCCAATCAGTGGGGGCCTGGCTGGGACAAAGCAGACAGAGGGGCTGGGCTTGGTGGCTCAAGCCTTGTAATCCCAGCACTTTGGGAGGCCAAGGTGGGAAGATCACAAGATCAGGAGATAGAGGCCATCCTGGCTAACATGGTGAAACCCTGTCTCTTCTGAAAATAGAAAAAAATTAGCTGGACGTGGTGGCATACGCCGGCAGTCCCAGCTACTCAGGAGGCTGAGGCAGGAGAAACGCTGAACCCGGGAGGTGGAGGTTGCAGTGAGCTGAGATCACAACACTGCACTCCAGCCTGGGTGACAGAGCCAAACTCCATCTCAAAAAAAAAAAAGAATAAAATAAAAGAAAATGGCCTGGCATGGTGGTGCACGCCTGTAGTCCCAGCTAATCAGGAAGCTAAGTTGGGAGGATTGCTTGAGCCTGGGAGGTTGAGGCTACAGTGAGTTCTGATCATGCCACTGTACTCCAGCCTGGGCAAGAGTAAGACCCCATCTTGAGAAAAAAAAAAAAAAAAAAAAAGGCAGGTGGAGGAGAGGCGTTCACTTTCTCTGCTTCCTTTCTCCCTTTTGGAGCAGCTGCTTTTCTCCTGCCTTTGGAGGTCAGAGTCCAGGTTCTTTGGCTTTGGAACTCTGGGACCTGCACCAGTGGTGTTCTGTGGGGGTGGGGAGTGGTCTTGAGCCTGACCAGCAGCTATACTGTCTTAGACCTGTCCTGGCCTATCATGGCATCTTTGATCATGTAAACCAATTTCCCCTACTAAATCCCCTTCTGTATACCCTACTCGAGAACCCTGTCTAATAAAAACTTCTATTGCTATTTTCTCCTATTGTCCCAATTAGATATGTCATCCATACAGAAGAGGGCACACGATATGTTTACGGTGTAAAGAAGAATCATTTGTGAGCCCCAATTTGGCCCCTATCTAGGTCAACTCTGCTGGAAGCACCCAGCCCCTGGGTGTGTCTCTGCAAGCAAAGTCACCTTCCTTCCCCATGGACAGACCACCCTCCTGACTCGTCGGGTTATCTTTTCATTGCTCTTCTTTACATTTGTACCACTGTGTTTCCCCAGAAATGTAGCTGAGGCTTTCCTATTTTCTCTCTTTTTATAAATGGAATAACACTCTAGGAAGGCTTTATATATCTGGGTTTTTTTTTCATGATATTGTTTGTGAAACTCGTTCATATACTGTGTAACTGAAGTTCATTCACGTTTACTGCTGTATAGTATTCTGTCATGACCATGTCACTGTCTACTTATCCATTCTGTGGATGGACACTGGGCATCCCCCATTTGGGGCTATCATTAGCAATGCTGCTGTAGAGATTCATGTTCTGTTCTTGGTGCATTTGTTTGTGAATTTCTTCAGGGCCACACCTGGGAAGGGAACGGTCAGATCTTGAGATGGGCACAGCTTTACCCTCCCCAGTCAATGCCAAAGTGTTCCCCAAACTAGTTGCATAAATACATATTGCTAATTTTAAAAGTGGTTTTAAGATCTTCATGTAGGTGGAAAGAAAGGGAGGAAGTGAAGGAGGGAGGGAGGAAGGGAAGAAGGGAGGGACAAAGGGAGAGAGGGAGGAAGGAAACAAAGGAGAGGGGGAAGAAGGGAGGGAGGGAGAGGGAGGGGAAAGAAGGAAAGGAG